GGGGGATAAAGAGGCTGTCACTCCCCTCTAACCTCAACAATCATCCCTCTCTCTCCCCCTAATAGTTGCCTTTTGATAACTTTTGCTATCTCTGATGTAGTCTTATTCTTTTCATAGTGATGTTGCTTCGTCTTCTGTTCGCTTCAATGACGTCATAACCGAACTAAATTATGGGATGATTAGTATTGACTGGAACACAACCCCTGTAGGTATCAGTTAGCCTTCAGGTTAAGGGACATGAACTGCCTTTTCCTCCCCTTTATTAGAATACTTGTATAAAGAATGTGAGAAGACAGCTATGGTTCGATGATCCGTGCCCTTGAATAGCTCACTGCTTTTCATTTGACGTCATTGCTTGTCAACTTCAGGTTCAAGTGTCTGTAGAGATACGAGGTGAAAATGGAGTTCATCTACAACATGCCATTCCTCTAGATCATCTGACTAAAGTAAGCCAATCAAAAATACTTATTTAATCATGTGATCACATTCATGTCAGTATGATTACCACACCAGGTACCAAAGCCCAAAACAATAAAACAATATTACATCACTCTACATTCTCATGTTGATCACGTTCTCTCATGGCATCCATTACCATGTCTCCAATCCTTTCCCTTTAGTAGCTATTCCGAGGTTGAAGTAAAAAATGAGTCGAGTTGGTATTGCAGTGCATTTTGGGACTGTCTGGGTACGAAATAGACACCATCATAGAAATATATGCTCAAGACATTGTAAACCGATTTCCTTCCCCCAGTGAGAATATATTACTAGATTTCTTATTAAGTCACTTATAGTTCTTTTGCTTAATTTTTCATCAAGCAACATGACTCACCAAAGTGTCCTGTAGCTGGTAGACCTCCACCCTTCTTTACCAAAACTGCCTTCTGGAGTACCGTGTTTTTGGTGGCTTCCTTAGTTATATGTATACTACTTAGGTAAGTATAATGTATTGTACCATGGTGATGATTATGATGATGACGGTCATGATGATGATGATGATGGTGATGATAGGTTGATGATGATGATGATGATGGTGATGATATGTTGATGATGGTGATGATGATGATGGTGATGATATGTTGATGATGGTGATGATGATGATGATAACGATGATGGTTTTGATGATGATGAAAACTGTGATGATGATGAAAAGGATAGTGATGATGGTGGTGGTGGTGATTATGATAGTGTCAATGGTGATAATGATGATGATGATGATAATGATGATGGTTTTGATGATGATTATGAGATTATAAGGATGACTGTAGTCATGATGATGATAATGATGTTGATGGTGATGATGAAATTGATGATAATGAAGATAATGAGGATGATCCAAAAACTGAGATGATGATTGCAACATAAATGTATAAGACAGCTTAATAAGATCACGTGACCTATTCTTTCCCTTTTATTTTCTTAGGATTATCATTTCATTCACAAAATTTTTTGCTCTAAATATTATGTTCCCAATACTGGAAATCAGAATACAAAACAAATCACATGTTCAAATCCAACCAATCAACGGCAAGGTCAAGACTTTGAAGAATGAATAAGACAAAGATATAGAGAGGCTGGTACCTAAAGGTATTCGAGTCACTATGAGTACGACCGCTGTACCGGTAAACGTATGCTAATTTTAAAAGAGGCGGGAAATTATGACCAATGAAAGACCAGTTGTCAGTGACGTATGGTTCAACGTGATATTAACTAGACGCTTGATTGGTTATTCATCGCTGGATTTCTGATTTCAGGAAAGAAATTAAAGATAATTTATTGCAAATTGAAGATATTCAGAAAAATTGAGTTAAATAAGCAATATATATGAATTAAAATAAGCAATATATGAATTATAATTACATTATTATTATCATTATTATTATCATTATTTCCGGCTTATAATTAATAATATCTCTTATTACAATTATATTTATTCAAAGCACACTTTATTTTTTTTCACGGGAAAAGTTAGGTTGGGATTTTTTAATTAATGTTGGCGACCAGAAGACCTACTCGACTTGGGCCTAATGTACGTTTCCCCTTTTCAGACCACATGTTATTTTCTTGCATATCATTTCTTTGTTTAACAGAAAAAAATCAACTCCTAAATTCCAATTCGATCACGGAGTGAGAGCCACAGGTTTGTTAGCCATTGGCTATTAAGTGCTACCCTCGTGAAAAAAAAGGACAGTTGAGAAGACACTTGAATATGGATACAACTCAAACGAAGAATCTTATTCCCTAGAGAATGACACGTGGTCTGAAATGGAAAAACCTGAAAAGGTCTATAATAATTATGCACAGCACARCCTTACTTTTTAAAGGTATTTCGGAAAAACCAGTAATAGGATTTTTAAATTAACCAATGCAAGGCTACGTCATCAATTTATAACGTCATCAAGATACGTCATGACCCTTGACGTCATCCAAATATGACGTCATTGAACGAGACCGGTTATGTTCGGATATGAATTACAATTTTATTTCTCGTTGGTTCGTTTTCCAAATTCACTATTTATGGGCACGATTTGGTTTTTTAATATATAATTAGATAGTAATTTATCAATAAATAAACAAATTATATATGTAGCTATGGACATAAGATTATTTAGGAATTTTTAAAATAAAAACTAAAAAATCTCACTATTCTATTTGTATTTCTTTCCTCCTTCCCATATAGACACTATACACTGCAGTCGTGCGTCCATTCTCATATACTTGTTCCCTATTTTGCCGTATTCCACCATAGTATACTTTGCCTATCGTCAGCGTCTTTTGTTACTGTTGCTAGGCGTTCGGTTGAAACCCAACAAAATTTCATTTTGCCTGTAGGTTCAACCAGAACGACTTCTATCCTGTGGTATCACATTCTTCAGCGGCATTAATAACACATGTCCTGGCTAAATTTCGAGTCGATTTGTGAGTCAGTTAGCCGTGCGCCCTGATTGACCAGCCCAGAGGCTTCTGGGTATCGACAAAATTTGAAGGCTTGAAGGTCAAGGGTTTGGTTTGAAAGAGCTGTTCACTGCAAAGAACCGCGGCTCCCAAAACACCTGTTATTGTTATCATTGATAAGTGTCGTTCACTCTTTGTCTCGCCGGCGATACAACGTTTAACTTGAACGACGTTGCACCACGATCAATGTAAGTGTTGTCGATGCCAATCGTCGATGCCCCGGGTATAATTCTTCTCCTCTGGCAACGACATAGCAGTGCATCACGAAACCCCTTTCTGAAGTTCTCGTTAAATAAAACGTATATGCACGGGTTGATAGCGCTGTTGGCGTGGCCAATGAAATAACCAAAATACACCACAGATGTTGGCGCCCCACAGGGTCCCCCGAAGAAGTACATAAACTGAGTGACGTAAAGTGGAAGCCAGCAAATCGCGAACAAGACGACTACGATCAGTAACATCTTCAGGACTTTTTTCTTTGACTTGTCTGCCCTCTGTTCATTGGTCTCGCTTCTTTGTCCAGGCAGTTTTCGTATCCACAGCTTGTAGATAATGAATGAATACAAGACGGAAATCATAAGTAGTGGAATGGCGTAGAAAAAAAGAAAGAGAGCAATAGTGTAGTCTTTAGGAGCTGAACTTGTGCTGACGTCTTCGAGATTCCAAGTCTCTCCACAGTAGTATTGTCCGGGCTCTTCCGCGGGTTCCAGATTCATGGCGTATAAAATCGGCGCGCTGATTCCAATGGCTAGTGTCCAGACGACGACCATCATCCCATACGCGACGGGGAAGGTAACGTATCGACGGATAGGGAACACCACAGCGAAGAAGCGATCGAGCGCAATCGCGTTCATATTCCACACCGAGCTGCCAACAGAAACCGCTTGAATAAATGGAATCAGCTTACACATTGCTAGCCCAAGCTTCCCTGGAACCCAATAACTGGTGGTCTTAAGAAAAGACGCTGTCGTTGAGGGCATGTTAAATACAGTTAAGAGCAAATCAGCTACTGCCATGTTGATGATCAAGTAGTTGGTAACAGTGTGCATGCGACGATTCACGGCAACGGTTTGTATGACGAGAATGTTACCAGTTAATGATAAGATTGTCATGACAATGTAAAACATGCTCATCACGATTATACCGACTTCGCTCGGCCTTGTGTAATCGCAAAAATCTTCCCCGTCAGACGCGGTGATATTAGTGGTGTTATTCATCGTTATTCTTGAGTTTTCTAGATATATTTAAAAAAAGYAATAATTAATAATCTTTATCTGTTCTCTTGTTGATCATATGACGTCTAAAATGTTCAAAACTCAAATGTCACCACTAGCGCAACGATGTTAAAGCAGGAAAAATACACTCGATTTTTCCGATCCAGATTGCTTGCTTAATTATGAGCATAGAAGAATAGAGCGTCTGCACACACTCACGTGACAAGGCAGCCATATCGCAGTACCAAACAATAGGGACTTTCTACACGGATTTTGGATAAAAATTAAAATGCCGCAGGATAGAATACGTATTGACGCGGTGACGTCACGTGAAAATGTTCTATAGGGTAGTCACTCTTTCTAAAACGATATTGCCAAATTGATTATAATATGCATTTAAAGAAGTAGAAAATCTCATCTGGATGCGATGGGGTTTAAAACAACTGATAGAAATTTTAAAAAAACTCGACTCCACTTTGCCATACCCTCGAGACATCCGCAGAGCTGAGGCGTCGTATGGACTTCGGACCTGACGGCGATTAAATCCTTCTGCCCTTGGGTG